CATAAAATCAATATTTAGTCTATTTACATTTTATCAAAATACTTTTAATATGTTTATAATAATTTTATTGAAATTCACTCATTATCAAAGTATGATGTTATATCTGCATACAACTATAAACATCTTTATGAAACCCGATACATTACAATAAAGCAACAACAACTGCCATATGACATTCAGCTAAATAACAGCTATAAGAATTGTAAATTACTGATAAATTTGACCCTAGAGGGAGGCATTAGGTGCCATTTCTCTACGATCTAATTTATCAGTAATTTATAATTATAATATTATAACTGTTATTTAGCCTGATGTCACGTAGCAGTTGTCATTGCTTTATTTTCTGTATATAACATTTAAAAAAAGGAGAAATAATTATTTAAATTTTAGATAACAATAAAACAACAGTCTAAGATTCTAGTTGTAATATTTAATATGGATTGAAAAAGTTAAAAGGAATGAAATTAAAAAAAGGAGTTTAAACCTACTTTTTGGCCTTTTTGCTTTCATTTATACAATTGTTCATAAAAAAAAAGAATTCTAAATAAATATCTTATCATCATGAAATTTTGTATTTCTAATATGGATAAGGAAATAGAGTTGATAACAATTTCAAAATAAGTAGACCAGAAGTAGAATAACTTCACTTCAGTCCATGGTTTGAAATTCTAATGTGGACTCCACCCCTGCTGTAAGGGACAGGACTTGCATTTTCCAAAAGACTTTTAGCTGACTGAGAAAAGAATCACCTGACTTGTGATCAAGACAATTGTTTTATCATGAATTGCAGGATTTTTGCTTGACATATTCAGGCCTTTCTTAGCTCCAGGCTTGGTTTGGCCAAACCATTTTGGTTCAGTGGTGGAACTACAATGGCAGAGACTCTTGTTTCAGAAAGATCGTACAGATCAGTATATAGTAAAGCTACCTCTGTCTACAATACATACAGAAATATAGCATGGCATAGAGTCAAAATAATGAAGCTTGGCTGTTTTGTGGCAGATTTTTTCGGTCCTGCTGCAACTCTGTTCAGGATGTTGAAGATTCCATGATGGCTTCAGTTAATATCCAAATATATCACACACATGTTTAATCAAGGAAGGATATGAATAGAATGCAGTCCAAGAAGAGGCAATGGTGTATGATGACACAAGATATAAAGAAAGAGAACAATACATCTTGTTCAGTATATAGAACAAAATTGTTGAATTATCCTGAGCTTATCTCATTATCTGATGATACTCTCTAGCTGTAGTTTTTTTTGGGCCTGAAAGCCTTTACAGCATTAATGTGTTCTATTGCACCCACTGCTTTATCTATATGTCCCAGTTACTGGGCTGTTCTTCAGAATAACTAGTCTCCTTCCCATAGTCAAAGAATATGATCTTTCCTAAAATCATTTAATTGGTGATAAGGTGCTCAAGTACATCTTTAGAGCATTATCACTGGCAATTGTGATCAACTTGATAAAATAAGACAGTCAGATTGTTAAACAAGAATCTGACTATTGAACCTGCAAAGGTTGCAGGTTCAAGCCCCACCCTGGGCCAGTTCTTTTCTTCCAGATGATTCTAAATTATTTAATAAATTATTTAAATTATAATTATTAACTTAGATAAGAGATGGCATCTAATGTTTATCTCTAATAACAAATTACTTAGTATTAATTATTAAAAATAGCAGATTTATAACCTGAGCATTTAAGGCGATTGTTTGGCTATGTATCTACAAATAATTGTAATTATAATTCATTATTTATAATTGTGAAATAAATAATTTGTGTGTGATGTATAAATTTATAACTTAAAACTGTTTTAGGTATCACAGACAATAGCAAGAGGAGGACCACGCTCGCAGATAGCTATACCTGCCCAAGGGATGATTGAATTTCGAGATGCCCTCACTGATTTATTGGAAGAATTTGGTACAGATGATGGAGGTAATACAATTTTCTTTTATTTTTTTTAAATTTAAAAATGTTAAGTAATTACTCAAAATTCTTAACAACAAAATTTGACTTTATTTCATTTGTTACTTTGTTTTTTATATATTGTAATATTCTTGTAAAATGACTTCATAAATCACCAATAAGGATAAAATGTTTTTATTTTGGACACAAACAAACAAAAATGTTTAATAAACACAGAAAAATAATTCTTTGGAACCAACATTTTAAACAAACCAGTTGGTATGTCCATAACTTTTTGAGGCTTTGATTTGAAGCAAAAAACTGTACACCCTTCTCAGTGAAAATTCTTTATTCTTTTACAATTTTTATTTAAAATTCAAAAATAACTTTTAGATAAGGAAGGCTTTTCTCTGAAGGTTTTGTTGCCATGAAATGGAAAGATCAAAAGTGGCACAGAGTTAATGAAGTCCAACTGTGTGTTTATTATTCTGATTTTATAAACTTTGTGAAATCTAGATACTGATAGTAACTAGATGAACTTCAAACTATTGTAGTTTGAAAGTTTTCTATTGGGTTGTTCGGAAAATAATTTTGTTTCTTTCCATGGAAAAAACACAATATTATTCTGATTTTATAAACTTTGTGAAATCTAGATACTGATAGTAACTAGATGAACTTCAAACTATTGTAGTTTGAAAGTTTTCTATTGGGTTAANTTTTAAAATTAGAAACTTCAGAGAAATCAAAATATCTTGTTGTTAATTAAATATTTAATAATAAGATTTTTTCTTCCAAGATACTTCAATCACTTCTGCTTTATTATTCATTATCTACATTTCAGAGTGAAGAAATTAGTAGTAGTATTATACTTGGTTTTTCAATTTGAAATTATAGATAAGATTATTAAGATAATCAAGATGAATGATTTCTGCTTTTTCAAAGTAATTTGAAACTGTAAAAAGTCTTGATATTTTAGCTATTTGTTAAGAAGATATTGGAGAATTGATATCTAATTTATCCTTAGGATTTTGTTTTAAAGTACATGATAGTAATCTAATGGAAGTTCACTTTCTGAATATAATCATTGTGATGAAAGCTATCAATATGGCATGTCTGAAGAAAACTTACCTTGTTTTATATTCCTTGGTTCTTGAAGGATTCAATACCATATTAACTAGCAGTATTTGTTTCAGTTTTCTGGAAATACTTCACTGTATATTCAAATTGGAAAACTTGAAATTATGTAATATTTGGAGAATTCTGAAGATGCATAATAGAGAAGGTTTGAGAATCAATTTTTGAATAGATTAAGATAGAACCAAGAAAGCTAGAGAGAAAAAGATGGTTATCAATATATTACACTGATCTAATTTGTCTTTTATTTGGAAAAGATTGAGATAAATGATTGATGAAAGTATTGTTTTTAAGAGAGACTCAGAAACATGTAATAATGAATATTTCTCTTGATTGGCTAAAGATGATTTTTATTTTTTTTTATCTACTTTGAAATAATTATTTTTTATAAGTTATAATACAAATAATTTGCAAAGATTGGAACAGTTTTTGGTTTTAAAAATTTGTTTGTTTTTATCATATTCATATTATAACTTTGGAGTTTTATTTCTGTTATATCTTGTATTATAAGTCTGATTAAGATTTTGAAGATCCTGTTCAAGATAAATTGATCTATCAATTAGTGTAACAAGAACCAAAAAATGGATTTATGATCATGACCTGGAAATAGAATAGTGATTGTCTCAGAAGAAAAATTTGTCATTTCTAATCTGAAAAAGAATAAGGCAAATCAGGACAAATATCAATGGCTTGCAGAATTTTTTTTTAACACAAGAAATCTCTTCCATCTTAATAGCAACTATTAAAACTTTTTCCAAAAAATTCACTATTTATATTTTGTTATTTAGAATAACTTGGTTTATAAATTTATTCTATTCTTTCTTCCATCTTCATATATTCTTCTGTTTATATATAGTCAAACCTGTCTATAATGAAATCCCATGAGACAAAGCATTTTTCCATAGGAGACAGGTTTCCACTATATACAGGTATCCCTTGATTAATATGATTAATTAATCCCTCAATGCTATTGCATATATCAAAATCATATGAATTCAGTCGAACAATCACCACCTGCTATAATAGATTTTCTGTTAATAATAAATATTTTAATTTTAACTTTAATTTTATCATTGGTAAAAAAGTTTTCTATGATAAAAATGAGTAACTGATTTTAAAAATAAAATGAAATATTAGAGCTACCTACCTTTTGTCAGACAAAATTATACTCTATCCAAATTTTTTTTACTTAATGTGTGCAGAACACAATCATCATGTTTTACGACCATTTCAAGTGGATGAAGTGTTTCAACAATAAAGTGTCTGTGACAATAAGATTTGTTACAAATTCATGGGTTGTTATTTGTCTATTTTTAATCCTTTATATCCAATTTTTTTGTCAAAAGCAGGGCTGTGGAGTTGCGTAAAAATCTACTGACTCCAACTCCGTTTCATATACATAACAAGTTGGTAAGTAAAAGGGAGTCGGAGTCAGCAGATTTTTTGACGACTCCGACTCCGGCTAAACCACCAAAACTCCACGACTCCGACTCCACAGCCCTGGTCAAAAGTTTTGGATACCCTGTACATTTTATATCCTGTAGTTCAAAATTTCCTGAATGAAACTTTCAAAACCACATTTGCCACGTTTGAAATTTAAGAGCATCTTCCCCATAAACACTATGAGTATTTCTTACTGTTTGTGTAGCATTATATCGTTTACAAAATTTAAAAATCATAATATGCCCGATATGAATTTTATCTGCAGACATTTAAACTTGATTTTATTCAAAGAAATTGTGATGTAAAAAGTTTAAAATAAGCTTGAAAACAAAGAATACAATCTCACATTAGCAATTAATCCATTAAATTTCATAACCATTATAATTAAATTATATATCTCTGTTAAGTAAAGATAGCTGTTAAAAATATGCAAAAAGTTTCCATTAGCATGGAAGAGGATACTGAATTTTATTTTATAAGACCTGATTTTCCTTTCCATTTCCATGTTAGACAGGTTCTACTGTCTACAAGTTATTTTACATTGATTTTTACAGAAAATTCTAAGAGACTGAAAAATTTTCTGTTAATGAAAGGTTTTTGCTATATATAGGTTCTGCTATAGACAGATTTGAGACAATGTAATATTGTATGATTTTATTTTTACAAAATTATGCTTAATTTTAATAATTATAAAAAATACACGAGTTTCAATTAAATTTATTTCACTTTATTTCATAAGAAAATATATATACAAACCCCAATTAACTGAGGAACCTATAAGTGAATACACTCTTTTTCTTACATTCTGGTTCATAAAAGAAAGTGTTCAAAACAATAGGATATTACAAAATGATTTGTTTCTATTATCTTTAATTATTTAACTTCAATATGAGACAATTCATTCATATTAAAATGTAACTATAATAATACACATTTTTATTCTTAAAATTATTGTATGTATATTAGCTGAATAATAAATGATATAAAAATTGTTGTTGATATTTATGTGTTTCTCAGCTTCTAATGAATCGTTGCCCCCTTTAATGTAGTATCACCCCTTCAATAAAACCGTTACGTAGTATTGCCCCCTTCACTTCAAAATTCCGAAGCCGAGGGCCAAGGCTAACACCAAATTCATACTGCATTGAACAGACTAGTGACTAGTATAATGTTATTTGTTTAATTATTATAAGATATAATGAATAAAATATCTAATTATTCTTAATATAATGTTTTACTATATTGCCCAGAAAATTGTTTTTTGCCCCCAAATATAAATTATTACTAATCGCCCCCTCAACGTGGAAAAACGCCCACATGGGCCAGGGGGTGATATCGCCCCATTGAGAAACACTGATATATATAAATTTACTAAGGTATGGAAAAAAAGGCATAAAAGTGATATACCATAAAAATCTTTTATATTTGGAATTTTTAATCCAAAATGGTCATGGTCATCCATTTAACTGAGGTTGCATTGTCCACATTACCTCAGATAATTGGGGTTCTGCTGTATATGAATTAATCTGCTAAGCCTTTGTTAAAATATTGTCAACATATATAGCTATAATTGCTAATAATATACTATACTGCATATGTATGACAAAGAAATATGTGAAGAAATTCTAATATGCATCATATATGTTTTGTCCTGTTTCTTTGTTTTTATTTTTGTTTTTTATGATATTAATATTTGAATGTCTAATCTGTGTTTTTTTTTATGTGAACATTATGAAAAGTAGGAATAAAAGTGATGATAAGAGAAAGATTCAATAAATTTGAATACGGAAATAAAATAAGTAAAATTGGTAGTCATTAATATCAGCCATAAAATGTCTGTAAGCTTATCACCATTCAAGAATTTCAGCCATATTAAGGGCAAAGAATGAATTTATGAAGACAACTGATATATGATAACTGATGTATACTGCCTTAGGATGAATAGTTTGGTAGTGGGCAGTCAGTAAGTATAGTAATTCTCAGTTTAAGAAAACTTTAGTGATCTGTTCACAGAAATGGAATTTTGTCATATGTTGAAGAATATGTGTGTGTAAATTGTTATGTTTTTATTTATTTATTTATTTATTTTAATAGATTTCAAAACTTTCATGAAAAATATGCTTTTGTTATTTATCAATTTAGGTCCACCTAATCCTGATAATCTACCAGAAGATGGAAAATTAAAGAGTGAAATCATGGTTAAAGACAACAGGCGTTATTATTTAGACTTAAAGGAAAATTCACGTGGGCGGTTTCTGAGGGTCAGTATTTCAATAAAGTTTTATAATGATAAATTTATAGAATTATTGATTAAAAATTTTAAATTGTAATCATACATATTTTTACAATTATTATTTCATTGGTTTTAATTATTTGTATTCAGCTTTGAATTAATGTTTCATAAAGATTTTCTGATTACATTTGAATAATTGATCTAAATCTTCTAAATTATT